GGTGAGAAAAATGACAAGTTCTATTAATAAGACCACCCAGTGAGACCAGCTGAATGTCTCAAGTTTGCTGTCCAAAAACCATTGTTGGAATTAACCATGATGCCATAATAAGGTGATGTATCAAAACAAAAACCTTTGTTTTTGTCTCGATCATCTGTCAAATTTTTTCTTATAATATTTCATATGATGGGCAACATTGCACATTGAATTCATATAGAAATTATGAACTTTGACAGTTAATCGAGTCATCAGCTGAGCTAAGTGGACTACCTATTTATTGTGCCATGGAATTGACTTCCATTATGAAAACGTAAACAAAGTCCAAATTTTTGACATTAGACTTTAGAAAAAAAACAGCTGATTTTCGCTAGCTGGGTGACCTTAAAATAGATCTTGATTACAAAAGAATCGTAAAAAGCAGCAAAACAGTTGCAGGTATAAACCCCCAAGTAGACAAATATATTTTTTTAGAATCTTAAAATTGTTGATACCTTATCTTACTATTTTTTGATACCTTAAAGGAAAAGGAAATTGTTATCGTAGTAAAAAGTTGTACATTCTTGCAAGTTCTAGATAGACTCCTGCAGTACGGGAACAGATCAATAATGTTGTTTCTGCAGCCTGTTTTTGTAAAATTCGGGAACAGATATGTCATTTATTTTTGTTTTGAATGTTGGTTTCTTAAATGAACTAAATTGCTGTAAGCGCCTAAAAGTATGCTTTAAATTTATTAAATGTAGTTTATTTCTTTACTTATCACTCACTATACAAAATTAGGGAAATTTTGTAATTTATGTTATGTATTTTGTTAAAAAAAAATAAAACAGATGAACTTCTGTGCTTTACGCTCCCAGATTTGATAAAATTGCGATGATAATAATACACAAAATAAATTTAATGTTTATAGGAAGAAAACTGTAAAACAACTCAACTGAAAATTCCCCCTTTATAAGTGTATTCATAATTTATATATATTTTTTGAATATTAAAAATAATGAAACAAGTAAATTTATATAATTAATAATAAACTTAATTTATAATAATAAAAAAATAAAGTGCCTATATACCTATACTAAAAAAAATTATAATATTATATTCTTTATGTTATAAAGAATAAAAATAAATAATTATAAAATATTGAAAATAAAAACACGAAGAAAAATCAACTTACTGTAATTATTGCATACATATATACACAGAAACATAATCTATATAATAAAAATACAAATTAAAAAATATATAAATTAAATTTAAACAAAAAAATAATATTTAAATCTTATATATAAATATATTATATATTATTGTTATTAACACAAAACCAAAAAAAAAATAATTTTTATGTTTATAAATAAATAATTATGAAAATAAATGAAATCTATATATATTAAAAGTTATTGAACTAGAAGATGAAATGATCAACTATGAAGATAATTATGATTAAGAAATAATACAAATAAAAAATCATATATACTACTTCATGATGTATCTAAAAATTACAAAAAAAATAAAAATAACACAAAACAGAAACAAATATAAAAATAAATCATACAAACAGGTTAAATAAAACTCAGAATACAAATTGTTTTATTTCAAACGCATAGAGTTGTAATAAAATTTTTCTCTTGGTTCGAGACCACATCTGTATTGAGTATAGAGATCGCAGGTATTTATCATAATTAATTTAATGCTTTTCTGGCATCATTCACAGGACCTAAAACACGTTCTTTAAAAAACAACCAAATGGGAGTTGAACTTTTTTCAATTCATCCTCAGGACACCTGAATAATTCCTTTCACTAAAGTACCCCTTGTTTTTTTACGGGTACTTTAGGTTATTTATTAAAGGTAGGGCCCGAAAAGCCTTATCGAAGGAAGAAGTCACTTCTAAAACGTCTTGAAATTCAGAAAAATACGCAAAGTTGACAAGAACGGACTTCTTTTCTAAATTCGTCTCCGGACTTGAAGCGACATCTGCCCCCTCCACCATAAGTCTACTGGCTAGATCAGCAGGATTTGTCTCAGAACACACATGACGCCACTTTGAGGAATCGATCACTTGAATAATGTTAGACACTCTATTTCCAGAAGAAAGGTGGTTTAGCCAACCATGAAAGAACAATTGTGGAGTCAGTCCAGCAGAATATGGAGTAGGACGGAACATCCAGAAGTGGAAGAAGACCGTCGATCGTTACTGTGAGAAGTTGAGCTCCACATAACTGGAGCCACATTGGCTTGGAATGCATGAGGTGCGTGGAAACAGTTTCACCTGAGAATATACGGACATACAAAACCGTGGCATACGCACTGTTGGATGCGTCAAAGAAGCCATGAAACTGAACACTAGCGGCAGGAATAAAGTCTATCCATCTAGAAATTCTTATCTCATTTATGATAGGAAAATCAGCTTGAAACTTCAACCACTCCGATAGTATATCCTGAGATAACGAATGGTCACATCTTAGACCAGAAGCCGAGATCTTCTGCATTAGAATCTTTTCTAACACAACACAAGGAGATAGACAACAAGCAGCATCGTACAATTTTGCTATTTGAGATAGGAGTAAACGTTTGGTATATGTTAACGAATCAGAGAAAGACTTGACCGCGAAAAAGAAGGAATCAGAATGAGCAACCCATCGTAAACCCAACATATCGTGGCTGCTCTGCTTTCTTCGAGCTGGAGAAAGTCCTTGCGGAGGAGATGTTTAGACGGAATATCGACCAAAGTAGCTTTGTAATTAGATGTCCATTTCCGTAAGAAAAACCCAGCGGACCCGAGAGATGATTGCAACACTAGCTCTAAGCAATCTTGAACGAATATCATCAGCCAACTGATGCAGAACCCTAATTGTAAAATAAGGAGCTGAATTCACCCCGTAACTGATAATCTTGAACTTCCTCATCTGGGCCTGAACGATATAAGATCCTCCTGAACTTGGCATGATCTGGATGAACTAGAATTTGCCGGTACATCTTCGCAATGTCGGCATTGAATACGAAACGGAAAATTCTCCATTGCAAAATTAGCATAGTTAGGTTTGGGGATGTGCAGTCACTTATGTGGCTGTAGCACTCTTAGGCCGTTAGGTCCGTTGCGATCATTCACGAGAAGAAAAGAGATACGGACAAATCTATAGGGGAGATAAAGAGAAATGAGAAGCTTACAGAAGCATATAAAAAAGGTAAGATTGGAATAAAGTCGATGGCTATAGGAATCAGACAGAAGATGTGTTACATGTCAAGGTTTGCACTTTCCTAACCACGGCCTCAGATTTGATATAACAAGATTTGATGGCTTTAAGAGCCGCGTGACTATCCACAAAGATAGTTACCGGTTTATCGACCTCTACATCCAGAATTTTTATCTATTCCGTTGCCTTCTAAATTGCGAAGATTTCAGTTGCAATCCATCTTGTAGGTCAACTCAAGGCCTAACCTTTCACAGTAGACGCCTACCCCAGTACCTTCTCGGTACTGGGGCCGACGGTCTCGGTCTGGCCTTCTGTATAGGCCAGAGCAGGGTTACTTCGGTTCCAGTCGTCTCTACTAAGAATAACGACATCTACATCGTCAAATCTTATCTCAATCTGGTGATATATAGTCGCTTAGTTTTACGCGTTTGTCCAATGTCATACATGGCACGTTCAAGATAAGATCATGCCCAAAGGTACAACTTCGCCATAGGTTTTGTTCATGCAGCCTTAGGGCGCTACGCGCGGCCTGACACTTAATGCTGAGGCCCAGGGGCCTAAAATTCAACACTGAGTTCAGGGTTGCTTGTGGCGTACTCCTCCTGGCTCCTGTAACTAAAATCGAGGTGGCTCTTTGTACCTTATCTAATTTACTGGATGTCGACTTGTGGCGCAATTTGACAGGGTTGAAAGGGCACCCTCCAGGATGTCATATATTGTCCACACAAGCAGAACATCATATAGGCTACCGCCTTTATCCTGAGATGATTGAATTTCATAAGTATATCATTTATCACCACATTACCACAGTGTTATACAACCAGTGTATAGTCGATGGTTTTAGCCCGGGAATTTTCCCAATGGAGTTCTTGCATGCATAGAGTGCAATCAGCCCTCTCTTCGCCCGTTCCTCAGCGTTCCTATTCTATCGTAGTTGACAGTCCAGGATTGTACCAAGGTACTTTGCTTCAGGAGATAGATGAAGTTGCACTCCATCCAGTGTTGGTGGAGCAAAAACGCCCAGCTTCCTAGTTAACATTACCAGTTCCGTCTTTGTTGGATTTACACCAAGGCCGTTCGCCCTGGCCCAACGCGTCAATAAGCCTTTTTTCATAAGCTCCGAGATTGTTGACGGAAATTTTCCGGGAATCAATATCTCCACGTCGTCCACTCTTTCGAGTCAAGCTTAATGATCGAAGTTTTGCAAGAAAAAGGAAAGCCAGGAGAAGAACCTACATACCCACCATTATGAGACGCGTTTCGCCGTTGATTAGGCGGCTACTCAGGCATATTGGGCTATGTGGCTTTGCAAAGGTCGTATGTTGATAACTCGTATTTATTAAATTCAAATTTGTCAAGATTCGACATTTGTCTTCATTCCAGAAACAGTACTTTTCAAAGCAGATTTTTGTTGTAGCGATGGATAATTAATCCACACACCTACAATTGATTCCATGGTATAAACATGTTGTTGCGCAACCGTTTTGGAAGTGTGTTGATGGCTCAGGACGTTAAGTGGTCTTGCAAATTAAAATTAATTTCAAATGATCACTGCCCTTACAAGGAAAAATTCAAATAAAAAAGTTTTTTTTATAAATTTATTTTTACAAAAACAACAGCATTAAAATTTAACTACATATTAGCATAATTAATTATTAAGAGTATTTTTTGTTTTCTTAAAAAAATTTTAACTTAGCTTACAATCAACATTCTACAATTCTAAATAAAGCATTACTAAAGCTCCCCCAGTATTTTGAGGAACTTGGAGATTTTCTTTTTAATTATTTTCTAATCTAATATTCTATTCCGGTCAATAGACAATTGGCCACACGGAATTTTGCAAACAATTTTCCATAGTTGATTTTTTACACAGCGTATTGAATGTCCTCTCTTGGGGAAAACCCAAAATTTCACGTTCTTCATAGATACGATAGGTGAAGGTACTTTCATGGGTGCCAACAAAATAATGGGCATGGGAACATATCAATTGATCGATGATTGCAATGCCACCATCTTTTATCATGGATTTTTGTTGCAGATCTTCTGTTACAAAACGTACAACCCGATGCCGGGGAATATAGGATTTGAAATTTTTTATTTCAAATGCTGTGGCATCGGTGGCCAGGAATACCGTGCTGAGATTATACGTTAATAGATGATATTTAACCTGTAACGCTGAAGACTTAAGGGTGGGTGTTGTGGTTTCACGACCATACAGGAAATCACCACGTCTGAGGTGAACACAAAGATAGGGGCCGCCCAAAGCTTGTCCTCTATATTCCGCACTTTCATATTCCCACATTGGTGGACGTTGTATTGCCTCCAGTTCATCATTGCTATCGAAATTTGTTTGCCTATACTGTCGGGCTATTTCAACCAAATCCTTGGCAAAACGCATTGAACGTCGAGCTCTCCAAAATTCCCGATCAGCCCAGTGGTCATGTAGAACAACTTCCGCATTTAAAATTACCAAAACTTTGGGTAGACTATCATTCTCCATGCCACGCCATGCCCTCTGTATAACCTGACTCAACATACTGGCACTACCTTGGAAATTGACACATTGGATTGTGCTGTTCTTGATTGCAACGTCATCATGCCTCAGAAAGGACCCCTGCATCATTTGTTGGCCATCATCACAATCTCCACTGAATTCCCATTTGTCTTTGAACACACCATTTTCAAACATATCCTTGAAATGTCGAAGTTGTAATATTTGATGCACCGGAACACGGTCGTGTGCGGTCTCCAAACCCAGCTGTTGTATTTCCTCAACGAATTCCGGATAATCCATAACGGGAGCATATCGACGTAAACTTTCGATGTCAAAGAAATGTCGCCACGGCAAATGATCCTGTTCGATGTGATGTGAACGCCAGTGATATAAACGGCGCCAGGGTGGCAGGACTAGACGGACATTTTCATATCCCGCTTTTCGTCGTTGTAACTTCCGAAAGAACACAGCCAGCCGAATGTAGACATCACGTCGTAAATTAAATCCCTCGGGGGGATTTACATCATAAATTACATACAAGGCATTCGTTTTGTTTCCCAAATCCAGCGGGCAGTGAGGAAACTGCAAGTGGGTGAGTTGTTGTAGCCATTTGGGGAAATTCAAACAAGTACTGGTTTCGTGTGAGGTTACTACCAAAGAAGATGATAAACTCGCCGTTAGGATAATAGTTATAAAAATACAATTTAGCTTGCACATCTAAGTGGGTGCTCCCAAGGCGGAACCGGTGTGTAATTTGTGTAGAGATTCGATGAGGAAACAAGAGACTCCAGACACGTACAAAATATCAATGCCGGCATTTTTCAAAATGTTCGGCGTGACGAAATGGGGATCAAAACATAACTGATAATGCAGAATCAAAACAAAACTGATAAGGCTGATGGGGACATGGGGACAACGAGGTCGGAAAATGGACCAAGACATCATCAGTTAACAAAATATGTGGAAACTGCTACGCGAAGCCTGCATTAAATTTTCAGCGACACCCTGTGTTTCCATAGAAATTTGGTTCGTGCCTAATTAAAGGCAGTCTTTGAAATGAATCCACCAAAGTGCACAGGATTTTATTTCAGGGATGGGTGGAAGCTGCTGATTCAATATGAAAATGTTCCTAGCAGAATAAAAATGTTTGTAAGTCCCTGGAGGACATACCTAAAGCGGGACCAATATTGATTACCTCGTATAAGAATTACCGAGGCGCTATGCCTACGAGGACCGATATTGCTGAATTTTTAACCTATTATTATATGGTGGCTAGTTCTAAATGCGTGCCGATATGATTAATTCTCGAACGTAACTTTCTATTTTTTTATATCTCGATATCCTCCAAAGGTGGAATGATTACAACAGATGGCTAAATTCCATATTTCGAGTACATAAAATCCCCCTACGATGGTGGAATGCGACTACATGGGGATAAATCCAAAACGCGGAACAAATCTGATAAATATTTTTATATAAAAAAGGGACTAATCCAAAAAACGGCGAATATTAATAATTTTTGGAAGAGATTTGTCAAAAAGAGACATCTAGTACTCAAATGTACCGAATTTCAGTGAATTCGGTTGAAAAGAGCGCTCAAATACCCCAAATATAGAAATTTGGCTGGCGCCCTTTTATGGGGACTACCCGAAAAAATTGACCTATATTTATAATTTTTAGTGGAGAGATTTGCTACCCTATAAGAATTCCAAGTAATAAATTACAGCAAATTCGGTTTAAAAACGCGCATGAACCACCCAAAAAAACCGTAAATTGCAGGGTGCCCTTATATGGGTGCTACCAGAAAAAGTGGACCGATATTTATAATTTTTAGTAGAGACATATAGTACTCAAAAAGAACCCAATGTACCGAATTTCAGTGAATTCGGTTGAAAAGAGCGCTCAAATACCACAAATATAGAAATTTGGCAGGCGCCCTTATATGGGGACTACCCGAAAAAATTGACCTATATTTATAATTTTTAGTGGAGAGATTTGCTACCCTATAAGAATTCAAAGTACTAAATGATATCAAATTCGGTTTAAAAACGCGCTTAAACCCCCCAAAATACAGTAAATTGAGGAGTACCAGAAAAAGTGGACCGATATTTTTAATTATAGTGGAGACATTTGGTACCCAAAAAGAACCCAATGTACCAAATTTCAGCGAATTCGGTTGAAAAATGCGCTCAAGAACCCCAAAATACCGAAAATTGGCGGATGCCCTTATATGGGGGCTACCCTTATATGGACCTATATTTATAATTTTTATTGGGGAAATTTTGTACCAATAATAAGAACCCAATGTACCAATTTTCAGCGAATTCGGTTGAAAAGCGCGCTCAAGAACCCAAAAATATCGAAAATTGACGTGCTACCCGCCGGCGTAAACTCAGTTTTTGTCAGTGAGATAGACCTGTTAGGTTGGACAAAAAACCAAAATGCTATTGCCAGCGGATCGTAATTGACGTTCTGTTGACGTCGGATGGTATGACGTCTTGGATGTCTGGGCGGAAATGTCTGATGTCCTTCCGGATGTGCCGTGGAGGAGGATCCTGCACCACTATGTTGTGCTTGGGGTGACATGGCAGATGACAGACCACAAGGAACTGTCTAGCAAGCAACACATTATGTTGCTGTGCGGACAGTATCCTTGTCTCCTCATGAAGATGATTCACGCTCGACATCTTGACACATCCGGTAGCAATCCTTAGAGCACTATTTTCGATCGTTTAGATGTATAGTGGTTTTTGGAATCGATCAATGCCTTGTGACTAGGTTCCCATTTATATAAAAATAAATAAATTGAAATTGAATTAGCTAGGGCGACTCCCTGGACAACTGCGAAAACGATGTTGCCACATTGAATTGACAACCATCGTTTAAAAATGTAATGCTATAAGAATCTTACATTCTATATAGTTAAATAATCACAATATTTATTAATGAGGTAAGTATTACAAAAAAAATTGTACTTAAAAAATATTGCACACACTGCAATAAAAAAATAACCCGGCCAATTTAAAAAAAATCCAAATAACTTATGTATCTGAAATATACTAATTAACTTAGTACAATGTATTTCCCTCACTTGTCATACGTCAGCTTTTGCCTTCAACTTGTTTCTTAACTTCCGTCACTTCCAAACTGACACTTTCATCCAACATTTCTGCCAAAACTTCAACATCTTCTGCAGTGTTTGTTAGTTCTTCTTCTTCACGACTTCCTTCCATCGACGATTTCGTCGTCTTATCTCCATAAATATTAATATTTTTACGCAGTTCTGCATCTTCTTCTAAATCTTCAATGAAATCCAATTTGTCCTTTACGAGACTCTCGTCTACTGCACCATACGTCAAGTGTTTCAACTTCCATGAACGTTTCTTGTTACCCGCCGCTTGACGATCATGACATTTCCTTACCAAAATAATATCGGGAATTTGATCGGTTTTTAATTTTTCAAATTCCTGTTCGTTGATATTAGCCTCTGTCATACTGTAACCCATTACCGAATCACCCACATTGAGAATATGGCCTAAATGTGAACGAGCATGGGTGGCGTTGTCATTGGTGCCCAGCTGGGAGGCACGTACCAACCAAACATCACACAACTGATGACGTTCGGATATTTGTCCCTTCGGTGGGGAGTGTTTCTGCGACCGCTGCTCCACTGGTTCAATATCCATTACCACATATTCCACAAGCTGCCGAGGATTGCATATAGCCTCGAAGGGTGAGCGGAAGTAATTTAGGCCATTTAATTCGGAAATTTGCCCCGTCACTGGATCGATTAGATGCATACCATGCGTTACACGATGCACCAGGCACAATGGCGGTATGTTTCCCAACAAATGGCGAAATTTTGGCGATAAACACACCAAACTATCCTTGGACAATGGGGCTATTTCCACTGACCATGTGTATTTATAATGATGTATGTTACTGTTCTTGTCGTGGGAAATTAATCGTCGCGATGCTGTCACCTTTACCGGTACCATACTCTCCAAAAAATTCACCAATTTACGAGCATGATTTTCCGAGGCGAAATAAAAATCCAAACCGCCATGCATGGGTTTGATGCCCAGCGTATTCTCGTGGGCCTTGTGCTTTAGTATTAGCTGTTCCAAATATAAATAGGTTTTCTTATTTTCGGCATGCTGGCGCACCTGTACAACACAACGCCAATAATCCTTGGCCTCCACCCGATGGCATTCGTTACACATTTGATTCTGTACGATATATTCCACAATGGCAGCCTGACGCAATGACGAATGATCTGCCTCGTTGCCTTCCACCACCAATTTGACCTTAATGCGCTTCGAATGCCTCTCCGTCCAAACAAAACAGGCATCAATCAAATGCAGATCTTTCAAACCCCGCACCTTCTTCAGGCATAATCCGAGCAATTCGCGCGATTCCCAACGGGCATTTATCCATTCGCCCGGCGGCTGCAGATACCTTTCACAATTCTTACAATATTGCAATTCCACTTGTTTCGATATATTGGCCGTAATGTCCAGGTGATCACGTAAACAACTCAAACACATATTATGCGAATTGGGCTCAATTTTCACTCCGCATTCGCAGCAGAGAATTGTATTTCTCTTGATCTGCATCGTCTGTCCGTTGGCATTCTTATTTGGAGAACCCTTTGCATTGAAGTCGACGTACTCCATGTTCACTCAGCACTGCCAAGTGATGTGTGGGAGGAGGGAGATAAAGTGGAATCGTTCGGTGATTAATGATGGTTTAGCTGGTCTCCGGGACGAAAAAGTTTGCAGTAGTGAACTATTCACAGAAATGAACGATTGGAACTAGATGTTTTGCTAATTTCACAAAATTTGTCAATTGCCAAAAAAGCCTAACAAAGTTAAAAACGTTCCACATTTTCTGAAGAATATCGATTTGTTTACAATGTAAAATAAAAACAGCTGATGGGGATTGTAATTATTCGAGACAAGGGCGGCTCACATCAAGCGTATGATACAATTTTACCGGTTTTTATTAAAAATAGAAAAATGTATAACCAATTTGCTATTTAATTTGATGCTATTTAATGTGGTTTTTCTACTGGTCAATGCTATCTCACAACGCAAAAAATGTTGCTGCAGTCATATATTGCGCTTTAAGAGGAGGTTGTGTTTCACATAATCATCCATCTACCCAAACAATTTGCAAAATTGTAGTGGCATTAAAAGAGACTAAAGCGGCTAAAAATATTTAAAGGCCTGAGCATCATCGTTTCGCTTGTTCCTATGAAAATATCGAAACCCGAATGTACCGATTCATTGTCGTTCTCAGAAATTTGGACTGCCTTACGGGACATTATGGAATATTTTTACACCTACATCCATGTAAAGTCCAGTTCACGATAAAACAGAAATGGTTGGTCACATTCATAACGGCGTAGACACCTAGGATTGGGGTGCTTGAACAAAATTTTTTCAGTTATTAAACACATTTCTCAAAGGGTCCCACCTCAAGACACTCGTAAGACTGATCCTCTTAGCAACTCACAACACGCATACATAAAGGGCAAGTCTGTAGAATCTGCACTGCACGAGGTGGTAGGCTACATATGAAAATTTTAAACTTTACGCTGGCCGCCTTCCTAGATATAGAGGGAGCCTTTAACAACGTTAAACATGAATCCGTAAACCAATCACTTAAAGAATTTGACTTTCCTGAAACCCTTACGTATTGGATAGATAAAATGCTAAACAGCAGAATTATGTGTAGGGGATACAAAAGTCAGGAAAAAGGTAACTAAATGAATCATCAGGGAGGTTTACACCGTTGGAATTGAATTGGACGGACGACGTGGTGTTATTGATTTCCGGAAAATTTCCGTCAACAATGTCGGAGCTTATGCAAAGAGCCTTACTGACCAAAGCGAACGGCCTTGATGTAAACCCAACAAAGACGGAACTGGTAATGTTCACTAGGAAGCGTAAGCTCGGCGTTTTTGCTCCACCAACACTGGATGGAGTGCAGCTTAATCTTTCACCCGAAGCAAAGTACCTTGGCACAATCATGGACTGTCAGTTACGATGGAACAGGAACGCTGAGGAACGGGCGAAGAGTGGGCTGATTGCACTCTATGCATGCAAGAATTCCATTGTGAAAAGTTGGGGGGCTAAAACCATCGACTATACACTGATTGTATTACACCGTTGTAAGGCTCATCCTTTCCTATTGTTCTCATGTTTGGTGGAACTGCCTGCGCCACAAGTCGACATCCAATAAATTAGACAAGGTACAAAGAGCCGCCTCGTTTCTAATAACAGGAGCTACGAGAAGCACGTTACAAGCAGCTCTGAACGCAAGGCTGAACTTAAGGCCTCTGGGCCTCAACATTAAGTGTCAGGCCGTGCGTATTGCCCTAAGGTTGCATGAACAAAATCTTTGGCGAAGTTGTAACTTTGAGCATGGTTGTATTTTGAACGAACCAGGTATGACATTGGACCAACGCGTAAAACTAAGCGACTATATATCACCAGTCCTGAGATTTAACGATGTAGATGTCGTTATCCCTAGTAGAGACGACTGGAACTGGAGTAACCCTCCTCTGGACGGTGTGGCTTTCTATGCAGACGGATCCAAGATGGAAGAAGTTACAGGGGCTGGCGGCTACTGTGAAAGGCTAGGCCTTGAGTTTACCTATAAGCTGGATAGCAACTGTAGTGCTTTCCAAGCTGAAATCTTGGCGATTTGGAAGGCATCGGAATTGTTAAAAATTCAGTATGCTGAGGTCGTTGAACCGGTGACTATCTTTGTGGATAGACAAGCGGCTCTTAAAGCCATAAAAACCTGTTACCTCAAATCTGAGGCCGTCCTCAAGTGTAGAACCGTTCGGCTGTGTTGGCAGGAATCATTACTGGTCATTTCAATATCAGGACATTTACCAGTAAATGGGATCATGATGCTACTGATTACTGTAGACTCTGCGTTGACAAAGAGGAGACGGAGACAATTGAGCATCTCCCGTGTCGCTGCCCAGTCCTGGCCTACAGACGGCAGAGACTTGTGGGTACTCATTTTCTACCAAGTCTTAATTTCTTTGCAACAACCGAACCTGCTCTAATCTACAGCATAATTAGAAACCTAAAGTGGTTGGTAAAGTGCAACATTGCAACGTAATATATCTTCTGTCCGATCTCTATAGCTATCGATAATATCTTATACTGACCTTCTCACACTTCTATGTAAGCTTCTCATCTCTCTCTTTTCTCCCCCCAAAGATCTCTCCATATTTTTTTCTTTTCGTGGACGATCACAATGGACCTGACGGCCTCAGAGTGCTGCAGCCATATAAGTGACTGCACATCCCCAAACCTAACCTAAAGGTCGAACCACGAATGAGAGAGGAAACAAACCTCGTCTGTACATGGTATTAAGTCCCAATTTAGATTAGGCGAGTTTACTTGCGGCAAGTCTTTGTTTGTAGGAGAGAGGGGTAAGGGAAACAGAAATGGAAAAATTTGCTCGTACCGACAATTCTCTGGCAATTCGTTTTGTCTATTTTTTTGTAGTGTCAGTTTCTACAATAATAAGTAAACTCGCCTAATCTAAATCAGGACTAACCATTTTACTTTTGAAACTGCCAAATTGGTAACCCTCTAGGACGATTTATTTAATATACATGACATGGAATTGACAATTTAGATCTACTGCTTTTACTAAATCTAGTTCAAGCTGTCTGACCTGTTCCCGCACTGCATGAATCGATTAATTTTTACTATTTTGTTTGAAATCATTAAAAAAATTGTTATCATAGTAAAAAAAATAGTTTCTTGTAGTACGTGAACAGACCAATAGTGTGTACACTATTTTATTTACTACCCGCCAATTTACTGCATTGCTAAACATAATACAAGCTGTCTGGCCTGTTCACGATTAATTTTTACTGTTTTGTTCGAAATCATTTAAAAAAATTGTTATAGAAGTGAAATATAGTAGCTTCTTGTAATACGAGAACAGAGTAATAGTGTGTACCCCATTTTATTTACTAACCGCCAATTTACTGCATTGCTAAACACAATTCAAATTTCAAGCTGCCTGGCCTGTTCACGTACTCCAAGAATCTATTATTTTTTGCTTTTTTGTTCGAAATCATTAAAAAAAATGTTATCATAGTAAAAAAATTGATTCTTGTAGTACGAGAACAGACCAAGAGTGTGTACACCACTTTATTTACTGTGAACATTGTTTTCACAAAGTTGGCAGCACTCTATAATGACACATTATATACTTGTCTCGCTCTCTCTTACTCTTCCTCACATTGGAGACACTTTCTGTCAAGAGTTGTAGAAAAAGGTAGTAGTAGTAGTAGAAATGGCAATTTTTTGACAAGTCGAAAACAAGTCGTCAGAAAAATTTGAAGAACCAAAATAAGATTAAATAGAATAGAAAGAAAAAAGAATGAAACATTATGATATTTAATGGACAAGAAAATTAATGTGACAAAATCGAAGAAATAAACAGATTGCAAAACGATATCCAAAAAAATAAAAACGTAGGCATATTCATTCATGTTTGATATTGCAGCAAATGTGTGCGTGTTCATTTGTGTTTCTTTCCTCCCCAAAAAAAGTTTGCTGACAGCAATCAGTGTGTGAAAATGCAATGACAAAAAAGGCATTGAAGGCTGCCTGGCTGGCTGACTGACTGATATATAACGAAAATGTGTGTATAGACAAAACCACCTAAATAGAAATGAAATGAAGAAAATAAAAACGCTGTCTGTGAAAAGGAAAATAAAATAAAAAAGAAAACATTGTTTGAACAAGATTAAACAAATTAAAACAAGTTAAAGAGTTAACCAAGGTTAAATCAGTAGAAGTAGTTGTTATTATTGTATCATTAAGGCACAAATGTGACTTCACAAGGAATTTCATCGTTTCATCGATAAAAAAGAAGAAGAAGAAGCTAAAGGCAAACGAATTGCATGTGTATGTGAAGAATGAAAAAATGAAGCTGAAACGAAAATTAATTTGCGGAGCAGCTATAAATTGACATAAAATTAGCCGTCTTGTATTTAATTGTAATACAAAACAAAATCAAATTTTAAAATAACAAAAAAAAAAAAAAATTGAAATCCTTTTGAAAAATTTGTGTGGAAAATCAAATCGTGCGTTCAAGGATATGTGTCTTAAAAAATCAGTAGACGAAACAAGAAAATAAAGGTGAATTGCTTTTAAATTGGAAAATATAAAATTGTGTGGAAGCGCGAATTAAAAAATATACAATTTTTTTAAAAATAATTATAAAA